AGTTACATTTATTTGGTCTCAGAGGCCAGAGCCATGGTCCAGGAAGAGGCGGGGCTCTTGGATCAGGGATCTTGTGTCTTCTCATTGCTGAGCCTAAGAGAGGAAAAGAGACAGAGAGATACACAGAAACATGGGAGAGAAAGAGACAGCCAATATGGTAAAATGAAGACCAAATCAACGGAGCTCCAGCCTACCCCCTCTGCCCTCTTCCCACTCACCTTGTTGAAGAAGTAAATGGAGGCGAGGATGGTGAATACGGCTATGGCCAGGGTCACATTCTAGGTGGAGGGGTCAGAGGTCAGGTCCCGTTCCCTCTCTTCCCTCCCCCTGACCCCTGCCCGGGGCCTCCCTCCCCCTGCTGGGCCCCTCCTCACTTCCTGAAAGTTCATGGCCATGGGTTTCAGCTGAAGAGCTGCTTGACCTCCCTTTCCCTTTCCTGGACCTCTCAGCCGGGGAAGGAAGGTCCGTCAGCAGAACCTGAGAGGGGGGTTGCCCGGGAGACCAGAATGGCAGCCATGGCGATGAGAGAAGGGCATTCTGGGTAGAGGGGACCCTGGGGCAGAGGCTTGGGTGAAGGGGCATGCAGACTGTCACAGGGGGATATCTGAACTCGGGATGGGACATTTGAGATCAGAGAGCTCAAACCTGCAACCCTACACTGAAGTGTTTGTCCTCCCTCCCCACCACCACTGTGGAGGGTGCTGGGGAGCCATGGGAGGCCTGGGAGCAGGGGAGGGAGGGGGTCAGGTCTGGGTGCCAGAAATATCTCAGAGCAGGCGGAGGCTGGAGGCCAGCAGAGCAGGTGAAGTGGCCTGGGCAAAATTTCCTCCAGTACAAGATGGAGAGACGTAGCAGTGATTCAACTGAGCATCCCAGAGCCTGGCCGCCAGTTCTGGGGGCAGGAGCAGCAGTTATAACAGTAGGAATCGTGGCAAAGGCAGCAGCTTCCTGATCTCTGGGCCACAGGGACAGTGACACGCCTTGTCTCCCACAGCCCTCCAGCGGTCCCTGACTTCTGCTCAGCCAGCCCTCCTGACAGTTTTGTAGACACCTATGTTTCTTTCTGTCCATCACACCTTTAGAACTAACTTCCAGGTTACCCGAAATACAGAGGGCAGCAGAGCAAGGGCAGTCTGCCCTCCTTTTCCGCAGTTCCATCTCTGCATGGAGTGCTAAAATTTTGAGTCTCAAGAGGTGCACATTCCCAGCTGAGGTTGATCAAGGTGATGCTTCTCTGCTCTCTGGCTTTAGCTCTTCAGCAGAGGGAGGTCCAGAGGCCGGAGACTGGAGCAGGTGGTGCTCAGTGAGGAGCTCCTGCTCTGGGGCCAGTGGGATGGGTTTGAATCCCAGCTCTGGCACCTGCGAGTGGGGTGGCCTTAGGCAAATTTCCTAGTTTGTAAAATAAAATTAAAAAAAGGAATCTACCAGAATGAGTATTTTTTTAGGATTTAAGATTATAATCCATGTGATACACACACACACACAGACACACACATTTCCCCCAGCAGCAATGATTCCGTTTTTGCTAATCCCGCATTCCCAGTGACTTTATACAACGCAAATCTTGGAAAGGATAAGAATCGCCTATTACCTTTGGGCACCAACTAGAAAATTCCAGAAGGCAAGACATTCAACAGGGCAGCTGGCATGGTCTCTCCAAGTCCTTGTCCCAAAACAAAACAAAATCAAAGCAAGTGGACTCGCTATATTTAAACAAATGCATAAGAGACATATGGCCAGATTTGGTGGGTGACCCTGAACTGGGTCCTGGTTTGGATAAACCAGCTGTAAAAGATATTTGGGGAGATATCAGGGACCTCTGAAAGGAGTGGGTATAGATGAGGTGAAAGTGTTATTGACACAAAAATGAGGAGATTGTTACAGAATTGCACGTGAGTTATGATCTCACTTGTGTAAAAAAAGTACACATATGGAAAAAATGTGCATTTAAAAATCTGGAAGGGTGTTCTTTCTCAGCATTGCAGCAGGAAGCAGCAGACGCAGCTCAAAAGGGTTTAATTGGAGAGAGTCCAATGCAGGGTCCATGCTCAGAGGTGGCAGGACAGTGCAGCACTGGGCTTAGCAAAATCGGGGAGCTGTGACCACCCAGTTGGGGTTGAACTGAGTCCCCCAAAAAGACTGGTTTGAGTTTTCATCCCTGTTACCTGCGAATGTGACTTTATTTGGAAATAGGGTCTTTGTGGATGTAAATCAAGTTAAGATCCGGTCATAACTGGTGTCCCAGAAGAGACCCAGAAACAGACACACGGAGAAGGCCATGTGACCACAAAGTCCGGACTGATGCTTCTATAAGCCAAGGGTTGTCAGTAACACCGGAAGCTGGGGACGGCAGGGAATAGCTCCTTCCTTGCAGCCCTCAGAAGGGACCAACCCTGCCGACACCTTGAGTTTTTCTTTTCTTTTTTCTTTTTTGGTTTGTTTATTATTGTTGTATTTTTAGCAATAGGATTTTTTTGGTGGGGGGAGGTAACTAGGTTTATTTATTTATTTATTAATGGAGGTACTGGGGATTGAACCCAGGACCTTGTGCATGCTAAGCACTCGCTCTACCACTGAGCTATACCCTCCTTCTCCCCATCCCCCTCTTCTGAGACCTTGATTTTGAAATTCTGGCCTCCAAAACTGGGAGACGATAGTTTCTGGTGTCTAAGCCAGCCAGCTTGTGGTCATTTATTAGCAGATCAATACACACCCCTAGGGATCAAGGGGCAGGGAGAGATCCATGTCACCAGAACCTCAAGGGTCAGGGGCCCCAGAGGAAGCTACGCTACCGCCAGGGCCCCGCATCCTTGGAGCTCCTGCTTCCATCACTGGCTGACCCCAGCAGGGGCCCCGAGAGCAGGGGGGCCAGGACACAGCTGAAGACAGAGGCTTCCTCTAGGGCACAGAGCAGGACGAGGAAGGGTGAGAAGTGGGTAAGAGGGGTGTGGAAAGCCACTCGTGTTTTCCTGTGTGGTGAGCTGAATAATGGCCGCAAGCTGCCCACACCCTAATCTCCAGAACTTCTGAGTATTTCCCTCTCGTGGCTTAAGGGACATTGCAGAGGTGATTACGTCAAAGACCTTGCGAGATGGGGCTTATCTTACTTAGTCCGTTCAGGCTGCTATAACACAATACCGCAGACGAGGTGGCTTATAAACGACACCAATATATTTCTTACAGTTCTGAAGGCTGGAAGTCCAAGATCAAGGCACTGGCAGATCCGGTGCCTGGTGAGAGCCTGGCTCATCGATGGCCAATTTCTCAATGTGCCCTCATGAGGTGGAAGAGGCCAGGGAGCTCCTGGGTTCTCTGTTATAAGGGCACTAATTCCACTCATGAGGGCTCCACCCTCCTGACTTAATCACCTCCCAAAGGTCCCACCTCCTAATACCACCACCTTGGAGGTTAGGGTTTCAACATACGAATTTGAGGGGGACTCAGGAAGTGGGCTGACAAGATATCTTTTTAAAAAATTGAAGTATAGTCAATTTACAATGTTGTGTCAATTTCTGGTGTACAGCATAATGTTTCAGTCATACATGTACATACACATATGCCTTTTCATATTCTTTTCCATTATAGATTACTACAAGGTATTGGATATATTTCTCTGTGCTACAAGGTACAAAATTGTCACCTATTTTATATACAGTAGTTAGTATCTGCAAATCTGGAACTCCCATTTTATGCCTTCCCGCCCCACCCTTTCTCCCCTGGTAACCATGAATTTGTTTTCTATGACAAGACATCTTTATTTATTTAAAGAACATTACCATGCAGCCAGCCTCCCTAACCCTAACCCAAAGAGTCTCACCTCCTGCTCTTCAGGTCCCATGAAGTCCCCTCCCTCGTGGAACAGGGCTGACCTGTATGAGCAGCAGAACGTGGTGGAAATGGCAGAGGGTGATTTCTGAGGTAAGGCTATAAAAGACATTGCTATCTCTTGGCTCAGTCATTCTGGGGGAAGCTGGTGGCCATGCTGTGAGGAGGCTCAAGCAGCCCTACAGGAGGCACATGTGGTTGGGGGCTGAGGCCTCCAGCCAACAGCCACACCGGTAAGCCTGGAAGTGGCTCTTCCAGCCCCAGTCGAGTTTTCACGTGACTGCAGCCCACGTGAGTCATGTGACTCACCCAGCTAAGGCACTCCCAAAGTCCTGGCCCACAAAAAACTGTGAGGCATAATTAATGGCTACTGTCCTAACCCACTAAACTTTAGAGAAATTTGTTTCCTGGCATCAATAACTAACGCTATTGAGCAGTCACTCTGCGAAAGCCTGTTTTAAAGGCTGAATGTATTTGAACTCATTCATCCTCAGAGCACCTCTTTGAGGTACAGACTGTGCTTCCATTTCATGAGTGAGGCAAATACAACACTGAGAGGTGCAGCAACTTGCCCAAAGTCACACAGCTTATAAATGCCAAAGCTGGGATTTGAACCCAGCCTGTCCAACTCCATGGTGTAGGGGTCCGATCGCTGGGCCACGTGGGTTCGCCAGTTGCTGGTGGCTCGGGAAGAAGACAGAATCACCAGGAGGCCCAAGAGAGCCTCAAAGAGCCCCAGTATTTAAGGGGTGTGAAAAAGAACCAACTCAGCGGTGATGGGTGGCATGGGGAGGGAGGAGTCTAGAATGTGGGGCAGGGGCAGGGGTCTCTCCCTCCCTCTATGCCCAGTTTAAGGGCACCCAGGTTCAAATCCCAGCTTTGCTGCTCACTAGCGTGTTCCCGTGGGCGAATTACTGAACCGCGCTGTGCTTCGCTTTCTCCATCTGAGCAATGGAGAGGGTGATGATCAGACAGACGATTCCTGGGGTTGCGGTAAAGATGAAGTGGGTTACTCCAAGGGTTAATCCAAGGCTGACAAAGGCCCCGGGGGATCGGGCTCCAGGGGGAGGCATGCTGGGACCTGCTCTCCTGGGGGGGGTGGCTCAGGCCGGGTAATGAGCAGGTGGGGCTGCGGCACAGACAGCGGGCTGAGCTCAGCGTCTGGCTGTGTGGAAATGGCCGGGCCAGGGTTTCGGGGCCACCCCACAGGACCCCTCCTGCTGCTGCTGCCGCTGCTGCTGCCGCCCCAGGCTCTGACGGAAGGACCCCTGGTCTTCGTGGCTGTGGTGAGATGCCCCATCCCCGGCCCGGCCCCTCACATCCCCCAGGTCAGCCCTGACCAGGTCCCTTCCCCAGGTCTTCCGCCATGGCGACCGGGCCCCGCTGGCCTCTTATCCCACCGACCCGCACAAGGAGGTTGCATCCACCCTGTGGCCGCGTGGCCTGGGCCAGCTGACCGGGGTGAGAAGCTGGGGATGGGGACAAGGGGTGGGGCTGGGTGGGGAGGGGTCTGCTGAGTCTTCCCTGTCCCCAGGAGGGGGTCCGCCAGCAGCTGGAGCTGGGCCGCTTCCTGAGGAGCCGCTATGAGGCCTTTCTGAGCCCCGAATATCAGCGGGAGGAGGTACCGCCGTGTTGGCCCCCCTCTGATCCCCACTGCCTGCAGTGCTTCCCATGGCCTCCACCTCAGGCCTTGGACCCCCATCAACCTCACCTGCACCTTACGTCTGATCTCTGACTCCTAAGCCATTGACCAACCCACACAGCACTGACTCCACCTCAACCTGAGTCACATCTGACCTCTGACCTCCATCAACTCTGACTTCATTTTATGCTGGCCTCCACCTCTGTTTTCTGACTCCCACCAACTCCAGCCAGACCCTCTGACCTTTGACTCTGGAACCTGACTGATTCTGTCTTTGACCCTCGTAGATTCTACTTGCCCTCCTGACTTCAACCTTTGACCTCTACCTTTCATCAAATCTGACTTTTCTTTCCTATCTTTTCCAGTGTCTCCTGACAGATCTCCAATTAGGATCATTCCTCCTGATCTCCGACCTCTGGTCCCAGATAGCTGTGTACTGAACTCTGACCCCATGATCTCTGGCCCGCCCTCCTCATCTTGACCTCTACCTTCCTCCAGCAATTCTGATCTTTCATTGACTTGACTGATCTCCTTAATCCTCGATGTCCACTCAACTTCTGACCCCCCAACCCAACAGCTCCTGACCCTGACCTCTGACCCTTGACCCCAAATTCCCACATTGAAGGCCAGACCCTTGAACCTGCCCTGAGTTTTGACCCCTAACACTTGACCTTTGACCCTGAACTGAATCTGAAGCTTTTGGTTTGCTGCTACAGCTGACCTCTGACCCCAGCCATGGTCCCCTGGCCTGCCCTCTCCCCACCCCACCCAGGTGTACATTCGCAGCACAGACTTTGACCGGACGCTGGAGAGCGCGCAGGCCAACCTCGCGGGGCTGTTCCCTGAGGCCGCCCCAGGGCGCTCGGAGGCCACCTGGAAGCCCATCCCTGTGCACACGGTGCCGGTTGCTGAGGACAAGGTCAGGGGGCTGGATAGAACCTGAAGGTGGCAGGGATGGAGAGAGAGACAGGGACCCTGAGATGGAGAGGGCCAGCAGCTCAGAGAGGAGGCTCAGGGCCTGGCTGGGTGGCTCCTGAGAACCAGAGCAGCAAGACCTTCCCGGGGGCAGAGCTGTCCTGATGGGGTGAGCTGCTAACCCCACACTGCGCAGCCAGACCTGGGATTGACAGCGGACCACAAGCAGGGCCCCACAGCTCCGACTCCCCCGGTTTCCATCGGGCCTAGTCGCGCTGCTGCCCCTCTGAACTTGTTTCCTCTAGCTGCTAAGGTTCCCCATGCGCAGCTGTCCCCGATACCATGAACTACTGAGGGAGGCCACTGAGGCCACCGAGTACCAGACCGCCCTAGAGGGCTGGACGGTGAGCAGGGTCTGCGTGGTGGGGCGGGGGCGGGGGCGGGGCCTGCGCGATGAGAAGGGGAGCGGAGGTCTGCTGGCCTCACCCAGCTCCGTATTTCCAGGACTTCTTGACCCGCCTGGAGAACTTCACCGGGCTATCGCTGGTTGGGGAGCCGCTACGCAGGGCGTGGAAGGTTCTGGACACTCTGATTTGCCAGGTGGGCCCCTGCCCACCCACCAAGTCATTAAGGGCACCTGGATTCCAATCCCAGCGTTGCCGCTCACTACCCGTATTCCCTCAGAAAAGTCACCTACCTTTAGTGCCTCAGCTGTCCCACCCGTACAATTGGTTTGCTGTGAAGCTCGAAACGGGTTAGTTCACGTGATGAGTTTAGAAATGCGCCCGGCACACAGTGAGGCCCGCAGGAAGGTTTGGCGCTGTGTTTGCAATTCCACCTCCCCAGTTTTGCAATCGGAAAAACGCCTGAAACCAAAGCTTGGGTGGCAGGAGCTGACCTGAAGTGGTGTGATGCTGGTAGTCCTCCTTACCCCACTTTATGGGAATGGTCCTAATTGCACGGTGGGAGTAGCAACGTGCATGTGTAAAGCGGCTGCCCTAGGTCCCACTGGATGTGTTATGAGGTAGACGGTGTCCTCGCCGTGGCTCTTTCTAAAACCCCAAAGGTCTGAATTCTGAAACAGCTCTAGCCCCAAGGGTTTCAGATAAGGGCTTCTGGACTGTGGAATGATGGTCATTACTCTGGTTCATTCATGAGCGCTCATGCCCACACCATATTTTCTTACCAGACCTAGCCCGTGAGGGGTTCAGGTAGGGGCTGATGGGGGAGCATGGGCACTGGGAGGGCCTGAGGAGAACAGGGAGAGCTCAGGACGTCGTGGTCACGTTTCCCCTCCCTGTCTCTCCCCAGCAAGCCCACGGTCTTCCCCTTCCATCCTGGGCCTCCCCAGATGTCCTGCAGACGCTAGCCCGGATCTCAGCTTTGGATATTGGGGCCCATGTGGGCCCACCCCGGGCAGCAGAGAAGGCCCAGCTGACTGGGGGTGAGGCGTGGGGCGGGGAGGCTGGGAGGCCAAGGCACCTTGCTCTGGGGAGTTCTTAGCACTGTATCTTGCTTCCTCTCAGGAGTCCTGCTGGATGCCATCCTTGCCAACTTCTCACGAGTCCAGCGCTTGGGGCTGCCACTCAAGATGGTGATGTATTCAGCTGTGAGTCTTCAGGAAGGGTGGCAGTGCCACATGGTCACCAGGATAGGAGGGTGGCGATCTGGGTGAGGAAGAGCTGGTGGTCCCAAAGGAACCTCAGCCTAATGCCTGGAGTAACTCCCATCTCCAAACCATGCTCTCAGACCATATCACTAGAGGTATGGAATCCAGAAGGTGGGAGGTGATGGTGTTATGGACAAGAATTCAGCTATTCTGAAAGGACAGGCTCTTTCATTGAGCTGTCCAATCATATTTCGTGTCTATGTGACCAATCTTTATTAAATGACCACCTGTAACTGGTGGCTCCCTCCAGGGTTCAGAGGTGTACGCGTGTGTGTGTGTGTGTGTCTCCCTCCAGGGTGCAGAGGTGTGCGTGTGTGTGCACGCGCACGTGCGCGTTTATTCGTAAGGGGTCTAAGGGACATCTGGATGCACAAGTTTAGAGTTCAGGAGAGGGGAGATGTCAGGAGCCCTGTCTCAGCCCTGGATCCGCCTGCAGCACGACAGCACTCTGCTGGCCCTCCAGGGGGCCCTGGGTCTCTATGATGGGCACACACCCCCTTATGCTGCCTGCCTCGGCTTTGAGTTCCGGAAGCGCCTCGGGGACCCGGAGGACAACGCAGGGTGAGGAGGGGGTGGTGCTCCAGAGTGGGTGGGACAGAACTCTCATGAGGAGGGCTGGGATGCCAGGTGCAGGGCGTGGCCTGCAGGGGGAACTTCCAGGGAGGGTGCTGGTGGCATCAGGGGGTTGACAAGTAGGAATCAAGAGCCCGGTTCTCCATCTAGCTACCCTCCTCCAGGTTTAAAGTCAGCAGAGGGGAAGGCAAGGGGCCTGGGTACCACCACCTCTTCTCTCCCTCCAGGAATGTCACCGTCTCCCTTTTCTACCGAAACGACTCTGCTGGCCTGCCCTTGACCCTCAGCCTCCCCGGGTGCCCAGCCCCCTGCCCACTAGGCCGTTTCCACCAGCTGACAGCCCCTGCCCGGCCCCCGGCCAAGGGGATCCCCTGCCATGGCTCCCAGAAGCCTGCCACTCCTGCAGGTGACGGCCCTCGGGGCTGGGGGGGCAGCAGGGGGTGCACGTCTCGAGATTCACACCCCCGTGTTCTCCCCACAGCCACCACAGTGCCCCTGCTGGCTGGGGCTGTGGCCGTGCTGGCAGCACTCAGCGTGGGGCTGGGTCTGCTGGCCTGGAGACCAGGCTGCCTGCGGGCCTGGGGGGGCCCCGTGTGAGCCAGATCGGGCACCACCCCTTCCCCACAACACACACTGGATCCCAACACATCTGTTCGTCACCTGCTGCTCTGGCTTCTGTGACTTACTGTGTGCGTCGGGGGAAGGCAGGGAGGGCTGCCTGGCCTGAAAGCCACGGGCAGTTGAGCGTGTGCATGTTGTGACACATGTGCCGGTACATGAGTCTGCGTACACGTGCATGTACATATACGTGTGCGCTCCTGCACTGATGTGCAGTGTTTCCACACACACATTTGCACATCCATGCACGTTTGTGTGCGTGGTACATGCACACTGGTACCTGTCTAAGCCTGCCTGCCTGGGGAGTTGCGTGACAGTCACAGGGCCCCAGGAATACCCTCTGCACTTCCGGGTCCTGGGGAAACCTCTTGTTTATAGATACACAGAAGACCCAAAGAAAGTTCTAGTTGATTCCTCTACCCTACTGCTGTCAGCAGTCCTTCCCTCAGCAGACTGCTGGGATGGCTAAGGAGATGGGAACACCACTGGGGGTGCTGTCCATCTGTGCCTGGGGACCCTGGCTCTCCTTCCAGCTCCACACCGGAACCCAGCCAAACACCACAGCTCACACACAGGGACATGCGAGGTGTTTAATGGGTGCCTGGCACTGTCTGCCAGGGCTGTCCATCCCCACAAAGCTGGGGTTCTGGGCCCCAGCACCCCTCACCCAGGCATTTAGCAGACACTCCAGCCGCACACCCAGCTAGAGGAATCGGAAGAAACAGGCTGCACCTTCCCCAGGTGAGCAAAGGGCAAAGTTCCATTTTAAAAGAGAAAAGGCCTTGCATAAAAAAGGTCTCAAGAGAAAAGACATCACAAAGGGGGGAAAGAGCCTCCCTAAATCCTGTTCTATGCTGAAAAAGTAATAGGTTAAAATACTGCATTTAAAAAAAAGCCTTGAGAAAGTGTGCAAACTTCCAGGTGCTTCCATGTCGTGGGCTTTGGGCTCTCCCACTTGGCCTGCAGTGCTTTGGGGGCCCATGTGGCAGAGAGGTGGGTACCGACCCCCAGACACCCACCGGGCTCAAGTGTATCAGACTGAAATGTAGCAGACTTTCCCCGAATCCTGCAGCAGCTCTCGGCCAGGAGCCGTTCTTCTCCAGCTCTGGCCAGTGAGGCCCACAGGGTGGCCAGGGGCGTCCCTCAGTCCATTCAGGGGCACACAGGAGACCCCACTGAGGCTTTGGGCCTCCCCTCCAATGTCCCTGTTCCCTGCCAGTTGGCTCGCCTGGGATTTAGCCTCCCTTCCCCGCTCCGAGAACCAACTGGACCCTGGGGCCTAGTCGTGGCGCACGGGCACTGGTGGGTCCCCTCCGTTGGCCTGGTCAGAGTATGGGGGAGGCGGGGGCTGCTCCTCCCCCAGCCCGTAGGCGGCATGGCTGCGGCTGCGCTTGGCCTCTTTGATGTACAGCTCCAGGAGGACCTTGGTGGGCTGCTTGTCCACCCGCTCCCTGGGCACGCCGTGGCTCAGCAGCCAGCCCATGAGGTCCTTGCGCGTTGGGTTGGGCCCCAGCATGAGCTTGGTGCGGCCAGGTTGGCTCTGGCGCCAGAGCAGGCCAACATCGGCTATGGTCTGGATCTCCATCACCGCCTCCAGCACCGTCATGCCCTTGACCAGCAGGCTGACCAGCGAGAGCCGCAGCTCGGAGGGAGCGGCCGTCAGCAGGCGCCGCTGCAGGCCCTGCGTGAAGGGCACGTCCTCGGGCGCTGGGCGCTCAGGCTCGCTGGGCAGGGGTGGCTCTCGGTAGATCCAGTCCAGCATGCCCAGCTCGCGCACCAGCTGGATGCCCTCCTCCATGGTGGTCCAGGGCCGGAAAGGCAGCTCAGTGGCCTCGAAGTGCAGGAAGGACTCCCAGCGCTGGCGCCAGGCCAGCAGCAGCCAGGCCAGCAGCGTTCGGCAGCCACCCCGCAGGGCCTTGCAGTGGTAGTTGAAGACGGCATCACTGGTCAGGTCGCCCAGCAGCGCCAGCTCCCTGGAATTCAGGGACAGCGCTGGGCCCCCTTGGTCATACACCCGCAGGATCCAGGTGATCATGAGCTCATTGGGGTTCTGTCTGAAGCGCCGCGCGATGGCCAGGAGCTCAGTGTACGTGTAGTAGCGGTCGCCCCGCCCCACCTGGGTAGGCGCCAGGGCTCTCTCGGCCATGGCTGTGGCCGCTCCCGCTGGGGGACGGGAAGAGGCCGGGAGGGGCGCGGCCACGGGTGCTGCGGGAAGGGCACAGAGAAATAGCCACACACACCCGGCCACCAGGCACCTCCCTGGAGCTGGGCCCCTCAGACCCCCGGATGTCAAGGTCCTGGGGGGGGGGCACGATATCCTCATGGGAGATCAGAGCCCAGTGCTAGGCATCATGGGGGCTGATACTGGATGTCCCAATGCAACGCTCCCCTTCCACCAGCTGCTCCTATAGCAGCTTCCCCTGACAACCCCCCACCCCTAACATCATGGGGTTACTGTGAAGATTAAATGGATCCAGTGCCTAGAACTGTGCCTGGTCAGTTACGGGCTCAGCATTGGCCTTTATACTATTACCATAATCTCTACATTAAAATTTTTTTCAATTATTCTTTTTTTGAGAATTAAAAAATATAATTTGACATTAAAAATTTTATTTATTAAAAAATATTTCTTTGGGGAGGTGAGGTAATTAGGTGTTTTTGTTTTTTAAAAAAAATGGAGGTACTGGGGATTGAACCTAGGACCCTCTGCATGCTAGGCATTCACTCTACCACTGAGCTACACCCTCCCCATAATCTCTATATTTTGCTAACTATAAAATAAATATGATTATTATGGCATTCATGAGAACTTCTGTTCTTACCCAGAGGAATGGTGGCGCTCTGGGACGCCTGGAGGAACCACCTGCAGAAAGGAAGGAGTGGGGGTGGGGAAGAGGAGGTTGGAGGCACACAGGGCAACCACAGCCCCCACCCATCCCTCCACAGAGCTGGGGGCCCCTCAGATCCCCAGGTGTCAAAGGTCCTGGGGGAGCACCGTGTCTTCACAGAAGATCAGAGCCCAGTGCTGGACATCATGGGGGTCCCCAAATATGGCCCCTACAGAAGCCTTGACTGAACACACCTCACTGCAAAGCCCCTAACCTCCCCACCCCTGGGTTGGCCTGTTTCTAATCCTAGTCCCTCCTGCATTCACCATCTCTTACCACCCTCCCCAAACCATCTCTGCAGCAGGGATAGAACCCAGGACCTATTACCATGCATTCTGAGCTAACCCTATACATTAAATGAACAATAAATTCAGAATCTTGTAAGTCTAATGATTACTATGGTATTAACAAGGGGAGTCTCTTCTGTTCTTACCGAGGGATGGCCAGGCTGTTCAACTCCTGAAGGAACCACCTGCAGACAGGAAAGGGTGTGGGATCCAAGAGAGGGTTGGTGGGGTGCAGGGAAACCATGGCCCCCATCCACCCTTCCCTATAGGCAGGACCCCTCAGACCCCCAGGTGTCAAAGGTCCCGAGGGGGCACCATGTCCTCACCAGAGATCAGAGCCCAGTGCTGGACATCATGGGGGTCCCAGTGCCCTTAAACTGCCCCCCTCCCCCAACCAGACCATAGAACGTTTCCATCTTGCTAGCTCTGTTGGACAGCGCTGCCTCAGAAATCGACAGATGTTACTTGTCCCTTAGGGCTTCCCTACCCTGCTGCCTTGCTTTGCTTCTCCTTGCCCCCCTCACATATCCCTGCCCAACGGGCCCCCTCCCTACTCCACACTTCCCCAGAAATTTCCTCAGTCTGCGATGAGGTTCAGAGCTCCGCAGAGGACGGAGAGACTAGCCCCCCAGAAAGACACTCTGATGAGCTGCATTTTGAGCTAACCCTTCACAGGACGCAGCTCTCACCCCAAAGGTGCTTGTCGGCAGGAGTCTAAACCTCTGAGAACCTCAGAGAATACCCTTTCTGTTCTCTATGTTATGTATTTAGAAAACAATCGTTTCCATCTGTTATCAGAAATCAACCTTATTAATGGGAATGGAGATTTGGGTCCAGACTCTATTGAGAAGTCAGGACTGTTCCACCAGAGCCATGATCCTCCTCGCTCCCCACACCCAAGGAACAGAGAAAAAGCCTCCTAGAGCCCAGAACACTTGTTTCTTTTTGGGGAACACACATACCAACTTATTTGATGATTTAGCTCTTTGAAACACTCCTGAAACATTCTCCAGATAAACCACATCCTTTGACAATGGCTACTGTGTAAATTGAGGGTAACCTTAATAACTGTATCAGTTTATAGAGATATGATTCATGGGGAAACTGCCTAATCTTTGCTGAAGGCGACACTGTATTCAGTCTACACCCGCCGCCGCCCCCCACTGTAAGAGTGATAATGCTTCCAGCCCTGCTGTTTCTTTTCTTCTGCTGAGTTTGAAAATTAGCTTTCTGATTAGTCCTTTTCCCTGAAACCCAAATACATACACATTACCCTCTGTATCTACGGGGCCCCAGGAACCGATCCCCCATGGACACCGAGAAATGACCGTATATATTTCCCCTTCCACAGCCCATGTACTCCTCGCCTTATCCAACCCTCACCTGTGAAGGCAGGAAACATCACTACCCCCCACCCAACTGCATAGAGGCCTGGGGGCCCATCTATTCCTGATGTGTTGTGCCCACTCTACGGACAGAGTAATTGAGGCTCAGGAGAGCAATCACTTGATTAACACCTCTAAGCCCAAGAACAGCAGAGCTGGGTAAATCCCAAGCATGACTGCTGGCATATAAATTAGGTCTCAGAGGTATGTGATGTGAAGGCACTGAAAATAAGGGTGAGTTATTTTAGATCTGGGGGGTCAGGGAGCAGGCATAAGGGGTCTTACCAAGATGGGGTGGTGGTGGGTGGCCCCTCAGCTTGAAGACACACCTGTAACACAGGAAGGATTTGGTGAGAGTGGGAGAGAAAACAGTTTGGGGGTCCAGAGAACATCAAAACCAGGGCCCCTCAGATCCCCAGGTGTCAAAGGTCCTTGGGGGGCACTGTGTCCTCAGGGGTGATCAGAGCCCAGTGCTGGACATCACGGGAGCCCAGGTCCCTCTGCAACCAGATCCCAAGGCCACTCACCTTCAGGAACAGAGGCCAAGCTAACAGCGCTTACAGACTGAGAAACACAAAAAACCATCAGGAGGGTACAAATGCCCACAGCTTTCCCTATGGAGACACGAAGATGCCCCCACCTCCCCAGTCTCACAGGTCCACAAGGGACTGTCTCCAAACCCATTACATGTTGAGACCCTGCTCACTACTCACTACTCCTCTTGTCTCAGTTTTGCAGATTTCTAGCACTGGCTGTACCTGCTAACTCTAAACAGCGAAAGCTAAGATGCAAATCCCTTGGAAGAGCCTGTTGTGGAGGAATAAGGGAGGAAAAGAAACCTAAAATATAAGCAGTGTAAGCAATGACCAGAGACCCTTAGGCACAACCGTTTCTGAACAAGTCAACTGCGAAAGACGTTTTGGAGATGATTTAGGAACTATGAGCACTAAGCAGATAGAAGATGGTATCATTAAGGAACAAATCTCATTGAGGGTGACAACAGCACTGTCATTAGCTAGAAAAACGTTATTTTAGAGACACAAGTGTTAACTATTTTAGATGAAATAAGAAATATACTTTCAGAACACTAAGGACAAAAAAAGCAAACTTGGTGAAATGTTGTAACTATTAAACATGTCTGTTTCCCCGTATGTTTGAGGATCTGAAAAATAAAAAGGAAAAAAGGGCATGAAAAAGGGATATATCGGACAATGGCAAAAGAGGGCGCACTCCAAAGATGAATGGACGAGAAATTCCACTTGTGACTTGGCAAGAGTTAGTGTAAACTCAACAGTTTTCCAGACGGTTGACCGAAGGGAGAAACTCAGAAGGGATTCTTGCTGGGTTGCTGTGAGGAGACAGAAAATCAGCTAATTGCTCGTAGGCTGGCTCTCCTTGCCAGGGGCGCTGCATTGCTCAGGCGTCAAGCAACTGATGTCCAAAAAGATCTTAGGACCGATCAGCCCCAGGACTGACGTTTAATAAAACTATGAGGTTCTAAGTGATTTCAAAATTCTGATATTTGAGTGGCCGTGTGAGAATAATTCCTGAAAGCGAACAAACGCCTCACTAGCTTTCTCCTAAAACCACTTCTATCTGGTTCTCAGAAACAACACAGTACCTAAAGACCTCACTCCCACTTCTTCCTTAGTAACCCCTGAGATCCGGCCTCTACCTCTCCCACAGGCTTTGTTCTATGCTGCACAAAAATGCCAGCCACGTGGAATCAATAACACAAAAGCGATTTCCTAAGGAGAGTACGTGTAGCGAGAAAGGGGGTGGAAAACTTCACAAAGAAATATTCAATGTCATTAGCCCCCTGCCTGCACCCCCCGCCCCCGACATGGACAAGATGGCGGAGCCCTGCGACGTGGGCAGCAGAAATGGCGCAGCCAGGCTGCGGTGCAGAGAAAGAGGAACTAGCCCTGGGGGCCTCCGTTCGCTTGGGCGGCAGGAGTCCTCCCCGACCCCCTGAGCGCCCCCAGAGAGCCACCAACCTCTCTGGACGCCACTGCCCGCCCCGCAAGTAACACTCAGGCTCGCTGGGCCCAGACTCGGCCCACGCGACATAGTGGCCGCCCCTGCTGCAGTCCTGGGCACCACGCGACACGAACGACCCAGGTCCCAACGCACACCCCACCGCAAAACCCAGAAAAGACCCAATAGTAAAGCTAAGCTCACCTCACGCTCGCTCTCCCCACCGCGTGCGCAGGCTGCAGCGTGTCCTGCTTTATAGAGCGCGCCGTGCGAGCGGCCTGCCCCCCGGCGCCCGACCGGGCTTCACACCGAGGCGTCCAGCACATACGCCGGTGTCGGAAACCCCGCTTCGGTGCTTATGGAAGGGAATACTGCCTGTCTCCTCTAGAATCTTCCCGACCAGACGGTGGGATGTTGTCCCTGGGGACGGAGAAAAGGGGCAAGGAAAAACTGGGACCCGTTCTCCTGTCATGAGGGTCAGGCAATTCTGTGAACAGCACCAAAGGCGGGCCCTGAAGGGGAAGGCCCCCTTCCAGGTGTGGGCGGGGCCAGAAGGGGAAGCAACTGGAATTTCCAGCACGGCAGTGGCGCGAGCTGCGCTTGCAGAGGCGGGGCCAACCCCGGCGACGTACCAGCCGCAGAGTGGGAGGCCGGACCCAGTGCGGAGTTTGACAGGTGGGCGTTCTGGGAAAGCGTCGCGTGGCGCAGAATTAGAGGCCGAGCCTGCGCGGTGAGGGGGAGGGGCGGGACCGGCGGCTGGAGGTTTGAGGAAGGGGCAGGAGGCCTGGACTCCTGGGGCTGTTTGGGGGCCAGATTTGGGGTACACCCCTGGTTTGGATTGTCTAAGAGTTGGGGGCTTGGCTTCTTGGCAGGGTTGGAAATCTGGGTGTCTTTTCTTTTCTTTTGGAGGGTAGTGGGAGGTAGTTAGGTTTATTTATTTATTTTTAGAGGAGGTACTGGGGATTGAACCCAGGATCTCATGCATGCTAAGCAGGCGCTCTACCACTTGAGCTACACCCTCCCCCCCTGGGTGTCTTTTCAAGTGACATGATTGTGACAATTTTTTCAAAAATAAAACAATGAAACTTCTCTACTACTTCAAACCCATTGACCAGAATCATCACTGTCTACAATTTGGTGTGGACTTTTTCCTTTATTGATATTCAAGCGCGCGTGTTATGGATAAAGATGCTTTTTTCCCACTCTAGTTTGTCCCATAAATAGTCTCTCCACATCAGTACACAGAACGACCTCATCCCTTAAACAGTGGCAAAGCATTCCCTGTGTGAATAGAATATATTTTGTTTAGATGGTCCCCCTGGTCGTTTGGGTTGTTTTCTTCCTTCTACTGAAGAGACTCCTCCGTGAAGCCTGTGATCTGAAGTAAAAGGAAGAGACCTGAACTCTGCTCTTAAAATGAGACATTTCCTTCACTGGCTCCTACAAGTCTTCCTTGTAGCCCACAAGGCCCAGAGTGACCCGGTCCCTGCTCCTCTGCCTTCGTCTCCCCTTTCTGTCTCCCTTGCTCATGCTACACTAGCACAGTGGCCTCCCTGGTCTTCCTGGGAACTGCCAAGGTCGTTTCTACCTCAAGACCTTTGCGTTTGCTATTGCCTTTGCCTGGAACTTTCCCATCCAGTCTATCCCCATGGCCCTCTTCCTCTCTTCAGGCCTGTTTCTGCTCAGATGTCACCGTAGCCTAGAGCTCCCCACCCATTCACTCTATATAACAGGCCCTCTGTTTTCCAGACTGGTCACCCTTTCTCTCCTTTATTTTTCTTTATAGCTCTTATCCCCTCACATATCTTTCTGTGGGCATGGGTTTTTTGCTTGTTTTTGTTTTTGTTTTTGCCTCTCTGCCAAAACGTCAATTCCTTAAAGACTAGGATTTGTGTCTAGTTTGATCACTCCTATAGACCCAGTGTCTGGCTCATAGTTGCAGCTCACTTCTTATTAAAAATGAGCGCATTTGAGAGCCTTTTGTGGGAGACAAGAGGACGGATTATTGTAACAACACTTAGAGAGCACATACTATGGCCTAAACTCTTATCTAGATTGAAGTACCATTGGCTTCCCCTACAAGCAGGTTCCACGTGCACATTTCAACCAGCTGTGCATGGAAAATGTTGGGGAAAAAAACAGTTCCAGAAAGTTCCCAAGACCAAAACTTGAATTTGCTGTGTGCCCAGGCAACGATTTACATAGCATTTACATTACATTTATAACTATTTAATAGCATTTGCATTGTATTACATATTATAATTGAGAGATGATTTAAAATATACAGAAAGATGTGCATCATCCCTTGTATAAAATTGCAAATATTCTGTGATTTTATATAAGGGACTTGAGCATCCTTGGATCTTGGTATCCGAAGCTGGTGGGGGGGCGTGTCCTGGAACCAATCCCCCTCGGATACAGAGGAACAACTAGACTACCATTATCTCCATTTTACAGTTGGGGAAACTGAGGTCCAAATGGGTTCAACCCCTTGCTCCCAGGTCATAGAGCAAGTCAGTGGCTGCACTAGATTCAAAACCTGCCTCCTTAACCATTGTGTGAAAGGCGGATAAATGGGACCCCCCCCAGGAGGGGGCCCTGCAGGGAGACCTAGACATTGATATAACTGTGTACTTGGGTTTCAACCCTGCCCCGTTTAGTAAATGACTCGTAGCCCCAAACCATCTGCAAAGATTGGCTACATATGACAGCCTTAAAAAGAAATAAATAAGGAAGGAATGGGACCCCATAGAAAAAAATTTTTAAGTGAAAAAAAGAACAGCTTTGTTTTGGGGTGGAGTTGGGGAGAAGAATGGAGACAGTGACAGGAGCTGCTGGGAAAGGCAGGAGGAAGTGTGGGTGCAAAGAGAATTAACCCTGGGAGGGGCAAATTATTGGGGGTCACAGATGGGAAGGATGAAGCCCAAAGAGCTGGGCTTAAAAGCATCAGCTATTCGACAAACACTGACTGAGCACCATCTCTATGGCAAGAATCAGGAACCTGCTCTGTGTGCTGGCGCCTCCTGTCTCTTTCCCCTTTAGTCCCTCCCACACCTGCCCCTCTCCCCAGAGGGCCCAAGGGATGGCCCCAGGGAGGCCTGGCACTTCCCAAGTACACTTCGAGGTATTGAGCTCAAAGAACATTCTGGGTAAAAAACACAGATTCTTTGAAAATACAGATTATTAATCCGAGTTAGGGGAGGAATATTCAGAGGTGACTGGAAAGGGAAGAGACCCTCAGTGGGGGTGGGGCTGGAGAGCAGGGTTGTCAGGTGCTTGGTGGGGAGCTGTGAGCAGGCTCCTTGGCAGGGAGGTGGGGGTCATTCCTGTGCCCTAAGTCCAGATGGCCTGGATCGCCAGGAGGGACCAGAAGTTCATGTAGTTCAGATAGGAGAAGAAACCTGAAGGAAGGAAGAGTGCAGTGGGCTGAGGCGCAAGGTTCACCAGCCCGAGCCTGATCCTGGTTCTTTCCCCAAGCCCAGCCACACCCCTTACTGTGATCCCAAATCCATGCCCATACCGAAACTCCGCTCCATCCCCAACACTGTCCCTGACCCCTATCTTCAAACCCAAACCCAGGACCATTCTCTACATTGCGCCCAACCCATTCCCCAGTCCAAACCCAACCCCACCCGTGCATCCAGCCCTATACCCATCCCCAACCCCATCTCCCTCCTCAGTCCAATCCTACTTAACCCTCTCTGCAATCCCATCCCCCTCCCAAACCCTATCCCACCCAGTCCCCGTCTGCCTCCCTGAACCCATGCCCAAACCCCAAACCCAACCCCAGCCCGGCCCAGACCAGTCATCAGGAAGAGGAAGACGCCGATCCATGCCAGGTAGAAACTGCACCCCAGCTCGTAGGTCATGCCCTCCTGCAGGTACTCATGGGCCTGCATCAAGTAGAACAGGATACACAGTATCATGCTGATCCCTGTGTGAGTACAGGTGTTAGGAGGCCAGCATCAGGTGTGTGAGAATCCTTGCCCATAGTTGTGTGGCTGCCAAGGTCTTGTTCATTATTTTCCCACTTCCTTTCACCTCCCTGACCTCTGCTCACAGGCAGGAAAACAGGCTCCTGACAACGTCATGGTGGAGGACATTGGAAGGGCAAGACTTGGTCTTGAACCAGGCACTGGTGGTGTCTAAAACCACAGGCTTTGGGGCTGACAGACTGGACTTCTTGTCCTGCTTCTGTATCCCATCTTAGGGCAGCCACTCCATCCCTCTGAGCCTCATTTCCCTCATCTGTAAAGTGGGCATAATCATAGGACCTATCTCCTTGGGCTGTCATTAGGAGTTACTGAGATCAGTATGTTTCCTGGCACACAATGTGCCCTCAGGAATTGGGCCTGATTATCATCACTGTATTGGGTCTTTAATTTTGGGCTTCTGAAGGAACTTAGTCATTCTGGACATTTGAACTTTATTTTGAAATGACATGAATTAAAGAATTTGTGAAAAGGAAAAGATTCATTTTTTTTCCTCGGGTAGTGGAATACTGGGTAATTTTTTTATGTTATTAAAAATAATATAGGAGGTGTTCTGCATTTAATTAAAGGGACATTGGACAGAAATGATTTTCTTATTGAAAAATGTTCTGTTTTAGATGACATAAAACAGATGTTTTCTACCCTTTGTACCTTGTATTTAGGAGGAGTTACTAGACAAACTGGGTAAATACCATTTAATAACAAGGAAGTGGAGTGTTCTCTATTCTTGGCCTCACTATTACTCTCTAAGAATGTTCTCTTGATGCAGTTGAAAGTTGTGATCAATTATTACAAGAGACAGGAACACAATATTCTTCATTTCCAAATTAAGTGCCCCTCTCTTCTAAAAAGTGTGGTTTGGCATGCAAATGGAAACTAAGCTATTCTAATCAGAATAGCAATTTTGAGTTATTTGGGTGGGGGTGGGAGGATTATCACAATAAAGATGCAGGCAGTTAAATTGCTACCATCAGTTACTGACATTTTCTAATGCAATCCTCACTACATCTCCACATGGTAGGAAATGTTATCCTATCCTACAGATAAGAAAACTGTGGCTCAGAAAAATTAAGTAGCTTGAACAAAATCACTGAGCTGCTGGTGTTGGTGAGACGGGATGGGGTGGGAACTGGACACGGGGTTGAGTATTGGATAGTTGAAGACTGAGTGATGGACACTGAGGTTGAGGCTGGTTTGAGGGGTGGGGATGAGTTGTGGTTGGGGATGAGGATGGATTGGAGACTGGTAAGACCATGAGGTTGGGAATGGGTTGGGTTGAGATTCACAGGTAAGAGGGGTAGTTTGGATTTGGAATGAGTCTTGAGGAGCGTTAGGCATGGAGTTGAGTTGTGTTGATGTTTGTAAAGGGCTTGGCGATTGGAAAGAAGATAGAATTGGAGTGGGGTTGTGGATGGGGATGGATATCACAGAAGGGAATGTGAATGATTTTGAGATCTGTTGGTGATGGAGTGGACTTGGACTGGAGATGGGGTTGGGTTGGAAGTTAATATTTTTTATTGGGGTGGACTGGAGATTTGGAGGGAGATAGTACTGGGATTGGGGTTGAAGGTGAAAATGAGGATGGGGTTGGAGTGTGGTGGGGAGAGGCTGGCTATCAGGAGAGGCACTGGGCAGGGAACTCCTCTACTTGGTTCCTCAGGGACAGGTCTCAGTGCCATGCCTGTCAGGATGCTGATGATGACACTGGAGAAGTCCAGCATGGGCGTGTTGGTGCTTGTGAAGAAGACGATGTTTATGAGGATGATGCAGAGGCAGAAGCTGGAAGTGCTTGCAATGAGGAGGAAGGCCCAGGCAAAGTCCAGCAAGTCTGGGGAAGGAAGAAAATCAGGACACCAAGACGGGCCCTGAGGCCCTGAGCATGGGGGAGAGGGTCCCCGGGGAGTCTGGAAGTAGTCTTAAGCCCTCTCCCTTGAAAATTCTTCATCCCTATTTTAAGGAAATTGAAATTGGGCTCTAGAGATGGGGTATTGAGGCAGATGCCTCTAGGTCATTGAGGACAGGTTCTTGGGCAGTGACAAGTGGGTTGGGCATTGAGGAACAAACTTGATGTGATGAGGACAGATTCCTTGGGGTGAAAAAGCCTCAGGATTATGTACCAGGTGCTAGGGTTATGAGAATTGTGAGGATGGGTATCATGTAGGTGAGAATGAGCATAGGCAGTGAGGACCGTCTTGGGGGAAAGGGGGACTATTCAAGGGTAGTGGGAACTGTCATGGAGAGGGGAGAACTAGCCCAGGACAGTGAGGACCAATCCGGGGAAGGCAGAAGAGGGTCCCTTGGACAAAGAGGAGAGATGAGTCCCAGGAACAGTGAGTGTAGGGTAGGTCTTACAAGCATTCTGGTCGTACTCATTCTGGCAGGAGGTGTCAGGGCACTGCACAAAGAAGATGGTATTGATGAGAATGGTGGGGTAGCCAGCAGGATCCTCAGGGGGCATCAGTGGCACCTGGAAGTGGATCCAGTGCTGGCCCAGAGAGATGAGACCGATGGTCACCATGCCGGCCAGGCTCAGCACCAGGCTCAGCTGGTGACTGATCTTCCTGGCCTCGTGCAGCAACCGCCAGCCCATGGGCAGCTGGGAATGGCTGAGTCTACACCTGTCCTGAAACCTGCAGCAGATTGCCCATTACCAATGTCAGCACTGAGTCCAGCCACCCAGCCCAGCCACCCCAGGTCCAGCTGTCAGACCCTGTCCCCCCAAGTCTAACCTTCAGACTCTATTTTGCCTATGTCTGTTCTCCATGCCCTGTATCTCCCTCTAGGACATGCTCACCCGGGTTCAGCCTCTAGGCTCCCTTGCCTCCAGATCTAGCTTCCAGGCCTTGCCACCCCCCAAATCTATTCTCTAGGTTGAATCACAGGTCCAGCCTCAATGCCAGTCCCCACCCAGAGCAAACCTTCAGATCCAGCTTTCAAGCCCAGCCACACCTAACTCTAAACTCCAATCTCTGCTTTACCAACTATGCCTCTGGTCCCTGGCTTTTCCTGATACCCCTCCCCTAGAATTCTAGCCCCAAAGCTGACCAGCTCTCTGGACCCCTGCCTCTTACCTGCCAGATCTGCCCTCAGTGGAGCTGCCTGATGGTGAACTGTAGAGGTTGCTTTCTGGGGTATTTGGGTTGTGTTGGGGACCATCCAAAGTGTCTCTGAAGCTCTCCTGGGAGGTCCAGATGATTGATTCATTACTTTTGATACTGGCCTCTGGGCTGTGAGTAATTGATGGGGGGACATCGACTCTGGCCCGGACTGACCTGGAGACTTGAAGGCTTGAGTGGGGACTCTGGGTTGTTGGCGGGATACTCACTCGACTACTGCAGGTAACTGATTTTACATTGGTCCAGGGGGTGCGAGTCACTGACAAAGGGCTTTGGATACTGAAGCAGTGAGTTTGGAAAACAGATGGGACATCTCGGGTTTTGAAATGGCTACTGTAGATTACAGACGGTGTGTCTTGGACACTGGCCCGGTGACTGCTGGTGATGGGTGGCACGTCCTCAGCACTGAATTGGTGACTGATGGATGATGCATCTTGGGTACTGAGCCGGCGGCTGTGGATAACTGGCAGGGGTTCTTGAATACTGACCCGGCGGCTGTGGACAGTGGGCTGAGAGTCTTCAGTACTGACTTGGTGATTCTGGACAGTGGTCTGAGAGCCTTGGGTACTGACCCGGCGGCTGTGGATAACAGGCAGGGGTTCTCGGATACTGACCCGGCGGCTGTGGATAACTGGCAGGGGTTCTTGAATACTGACCCGGCGGCTGTGGACAGTGGGCTGAGAGTCTTCAGTACTGACTTGGTGATTCTGGACAGTGGGCTGAGAGCCTTGGGTACTGACCCGGGGCCTGAAGGTAGTTGATGACGAGTCTTGGGTCTTGCCTCGGTTGTTGTTAGTTGCTGCTGGAAGGAATTCTGGCAGAGCACTCTGGTGGCCAGATTGGGACCTCTGGGCCATGTGGACATGCGGGGTCTGGCCAATCCCCAGATGTACTCAACAGCCTGCCAGCTGCCTCAGCCCTTCCTTCCAGGCATCTCCGTGGCCACTTGGAAGTCCATTGGTCTCTCCCGGGGCTCAGGCTGTGTCCTTTGGGGTTTGAATCTCTCTGTCCCCTCTTCTGTGTTTCTTGGTCTCTCCTGCTGTCCACAGTCAGGCCTCAGGGCTTCAATCTGACCTGGAGCTGGGGGCAGGGGGAGGTTCCATGACAGTTGGAGGGGTTCCAGGAGGTTGAGACATTAGCCATGGACTCACATTCCACCCTAGACCTGTGTGAGAGACATGGGGGCTTGGGCTGGGTCAGGGTGGGCTCAGTGTAGGGTCTTGGTAGGGTCAAGTTTGGGTTTGGGTCAAGAAGGGGTCACTGCTGGGTCAGAGAGGTGTCAGGACAGGGCAGGGGTGGGATAGAGGGTAGGGAATGATCAGGGTGGAGAAAGAGCAGGATCAGAGAGGGGCCAGGGTAGGTGGGGTCAGAGTAGGGTTAAGGGGTAAGGGAGGGGTCAAGGTGAAGACAACAGGGGCCAGAGTAGGGCTAGGCGAGACTGAGTCAGGGCTGGGTCACGGGCCATCTCTGAGATCAATTCTTGCAGTTTCTGGAGAGCCTGTGATCTGAATTTATCATTCACTCCTCCTACCTGTCTCCCCCTCATCCCAGCCAGGGCCTTCTCTGAATCAAGTTCATCCCTTTTTTCCCGTCTCAATTTCCATGTGTCTTCTTGCTCCTTTTCCATCTCCTCTGTCTCTGTCTCTCTTCACCTGTCCCTGAGTCTCAGGGACTCAGAGAAGATTAGGCCTGCTCCCTACCCTCAAAGACCTCCAGTCTGGGCTTGGGGAGAGGAAGCAGACCCAGCCACAGATCGAGAAAGGCTCCAGAGAGGTCAGCAGGAGTGCAGGTGTCCCGACCAGTATGTGCTGCCTTTCCAGTCAGAGGGGGGATTTTTCCAAACTGCTCTTTCCCTCATCCTCTCCTTTGCCTTTAATGATGATATCTTGAAAAAAACAAAACCCACAAACTTTTATGTCTTTAATTACATGGATATCTATTCAGCTGCTCTGTACCTCTGTTTCCTCATCTGTGAGAGGAGATTATGATACTTCAGAGGGTTGTTGTAAGGATGAAATGGGCTGATAACATGTAAAAGCCCTTAGAACCCATTGTAAGAAAAACTTGTTGAAAGTTTTCACATTTCATGGGATGTTGATTTCAGTTTTAAAACTTTTTCTCCATCCCCCAAGCTCCTTCCTGAGTTCCAGACTCAGAGACCCAATTTCTTCTGAAATCCACATTGAGAGGTTCCACAGAAGAAGAGAAAGGAATTACTATTCCTGGATACTGCTAATGCATCCATTCATTCATTTATTCATGCACGCTTTCAAGAGCAAAGGCTGGGGGGTGGGGAACGGTACAGCTCAGTGGCAGAGTGCATGCCTAGCATGCACGAGGTCCTGGGTTCAATCCCCGGTACCTCCATTAACAAATAAATAAATAAATGAACCTGATTACCCTCCCCACCAAAAAGTAAATTTAAAAAAAGAGAGCAAATCCTCATACCAGGCAATGGGGGTGCAGCGGAAAACAGAAGAAATTGGTTCCCTACCCTCATGGAAGACTGGTAGGCAAATAAACGGTGAAATAATGAACCCCAAGTCTATGGTGTGCCCGTGAGGGAGAATTGCACACTGCACTACGGGAGTGTTTAATAGGGAACCTGATTAAGAATTGAGGCTGGGGGAGCTCCGGAAAGGAATGTGGAGGAAGTGATGTTGGAAGTGAGGGTGTTTAGGGCAGTCTGGGCAAAGGTGGAAGAAGAAAGTCCTAGGTGGAGGGAGCAGCAGGAATCTGAGCTTCAACTCAGGGAGGAGAGGCCCCAAGGTGGCCTCTTGGTGTGTGAGAGGGACCCTGTGAAGTCCAGTGTGGCTCTGGAGGTAAGGGAGCAGTGTGGGGTCAGGGTCCCTGCCAACTGGGAAGGTTGGCAGATCACAGTGCTTGGTGGGTGTTGGGTGCACCACCCATGTTCGCTCCTTTGACGCCATGGGTCTTGGCCTGGTGAACACACTTTGGAACCTGTGTCATTGTTTTCTGTGTCCTAGGTTGGGATTTGTGACAGGGATGGTGATAAGGGGAATGAAGCTGAGAGTGGAGACAGAGCTGGGCTTTGAGGACTAGGAAGCAGAGGTTGAGGCTGGAGACAGAACAAGTAGATTTGGGCTCAGGGTGGGATTTGGATGGGGGCTGAGTTGTGTCTTAGGAGTAGAGATAGAAATGGGTAGTGTTTGGGATTTAGGAAGCATACTGGGGATGGCATGGGGTTGTGGATGGTCCTGGGAATGGGACAGAAAACAGAGAGGGGAATGAAGTTGGAATGGGGGTTTGGGTGGGGATGGGAAAGATGGCTATGGATGGAAGGGAATTGAGAATAGGGTAAAAGGCAAGGTTTGGGTGGAGACAGAGATATGACTGTGTTCCATGATGGAGATTAGGATGAAACAGAGTGATGCAGGCAGATCCAGGCCCCCAGAACTCTATTCTTTCCCAGTGGACCCCGTCTCTTCGTGGGAGGAGGACCGCAAGTTCGTCCTGCGGGGCTGGTGTCTTGTCTTCAGCATTCTGGCGACCCTGATGGTGCTCAGCGTGTTGGATGGGCGTATGGCCTACTTGCAGGGCTCCTACACGGGCTACCTGGGCTTCTGGACTGACTGCAGGAAGCACAAGTGTGTCAGCCTGGGCCAAGTCACCGGTCAGTAGGAGCCTGGACAGGCTATGGGGTGCTCTGGGGGGAGGTGTCTCTGGAGATTATCAAGGGAGAGAATCTCTGGGGGAATCTCTTTGGGTGTTCCTGGGAGGGGGGAGTCTTCAGTATTCCTGAGAGGGTCTCTGGAGATTCTCTGGAGGCCTTGTGAGGGTTTTCCTGGAATTACATATGACTTAGAGAAATCGGGACTGTCACTGTGCATGGAAAGAAGGGCATTACGTGTGGCCTGATGATTAGATGATTAAAGGCACCATCATTCTCTCTCACACTCTTTTTTAAAGTTTTTTTTTTAAGATAACAGGAGGCTTCCAGCTCCTTGAGAAGCATTTTGCCTCCTTGTAGATGTCTGTGTTTCCAGGGCTTTTGAGCATTGCCACAGAGGCAGCCCAGATCCTGGAGCCAGAGAGCCTGGGTTCAAATCCTGGCTCAGCCACTTGGTCGCGGGGTCACCTTGGGCAGATTCCTTCACTCCTGTGTGCCACAAGTTTCCTCATTTTTATAATGTCAGTGATAGCAGTACCTAATCATGTTTGAGGAAGGCGTGAATTAAAACATAGAAAGGACTTAGAACAGTGCCTGGCCCGTGTTCTTATTATAAGAATTGTTTTTCTCCAGCCAACACACCTACCTTCATTTTGGATCTCAAGTGCTCATTAAGACTTCCTGAACATTGTGTAAGATTAATCTTACTATATGTATTTGTTTATTTTGAGAATCTCTTTCTCTTATACCTCTCAAACTCAATCTGGTTTCAAGTTATAGAAAAATTGGGAGCCATAAATTGATCCTGGTTCAGGTACTGCTGGATCCGGTGCTCAAAAGGTGTCTGTCTCTTGCCATCTCTCCTTGAAGCCTTCCTCTGTGGTGAGCCCTGAGGCAAACTGTGCCCATGCAGTGGCAATGGGGCTGTCCAGCAGCTTCCGGGTCCCATTTTTTTCTGTAAACAACCATGGAAAAAAGAGAATAAGCTGTCTCCTCTGGCCCTCAAGCAAAGGTCTCAGGATTAAGTCAGATGGGGTCAGACTCACTACCTGGGAGTTTCTCACTGCTCCGTGAACCGTTTGCTGTGGTCAGGAGGATGTCATGCTGTGATTGGCTGGGTCTGGATCAGGTGCTTTTCTTAAGAGTCAATGGAAGGGGTCATTTCTGTCAGGAGCACAAGGACAGAGGGTGAGTGGAGAGTTCCTCTGAACAGTATCAAGACGCTGTTGCCAAAAGAGTGGGAATGGATGCTGGGTGGGCAAACGCAGCTGTGCACAATGTCCTGCCAGGTCTACAATACTTTATTTGAGCACAATTACTTTGGGAGGTAGACTCCCAAGTGCAGAACAGCAGTGCTTCAGAAGGGTTGGTGACATTTTGTAAGGCTTTGTTAGATACTCCATCTACAGAATCCCCGAGTCTCATGACCAGCAACAGAAGCCAATTCAGCTTGGTTTAAGCAGAAAATAGATTTGTATTTTCAGGATTAAGCCCATGCCCAAAGAGTCCTGGAGGACTGGCTGGCTGGGCATGCACATTGCAGCTTGACCTGTGGATCCCAGTATCTCCAGGCCTGGACTCCACTGGGGAACCTCTTTCTCTGCTACACCGGGAGCCTGGAGATAGTTGCAGCCAACCTCACTAGAGCTGAGTTCCCACCCACTTCTCCTGGCTGCTGAGTCCAAGTTTAGCGTGGCTCTATTTTATTGGTGGAGCCTCATCGCATGCTGAGGTCCTAGCTGTAAGACAGGCTGGTTTCCTTACTGGGAAGTGCAGATACATAGGTTGGGAAATTCCAACAGGACTGGTATTCAAAGGTGCTGGGAAGACAAAAAAGAATGGTGTATATTCATTATATGCCTCATTTGTTCTAAAATGTTAACTGTGTGTGATTTTTAAACTTTTTCTTATTTAAATTTCTTTTTTTATTGAAGTAGAGTCAGTTTACAATGTTGTGTCAGTTTTGGGTGTACAGCATAATGCTTCAGTCATGCATGTGCATACATACATTCCTTTTCAAACTCTTTTACATGATAGGTTACTGTAAGATATTGAATATGGTTCCCTGTGCTGCGCAGTAGAAACTTGTTGTTTATCTGTCCTATATATAGTAGTTGGTATTTGCAATTTTTCCTTATTTTAAATTTAAATGGCTTTTATTTTATTTGAACAGGTAGTATATGTATGTGGTTCAACATTTTAAAAAGTGCTAACTTCTCTCATTTTTGGGCTGAATCTCTCCCAGATCCCCGCCCTGGGGGGCAACCAGTGTTGCTAAGCCGTTTTTAAGCTCTTGCATGTTCTAGTCATATTCTCTGCACATATGAGAAAATCGCTATATGTGTGTATACACATATGACTATACATACATATATACAGTTAGAGGTATGTGTATACATATATTTATCATTTAAAAACACACATGTCAGTATTATAGTTCTCTTTTCAAGGTGAATCACCATTTATTGAATGCTAAGAATATACAGAGCTTTATGGTTGGCATAAAGAACTAACATGTTAGGTTATGAAGGTTTTAATTATTTTTTGAGGTGCAGAAATTTAGAATTTTTATGTATGTATGTAGAATTTTTCTCCACCTTTGTCTCTGTGACTTTACTAACTTAGCTTTGGGAAGCACTTCTCCCTCTAGATTTTTGGTGAACTTTCAATTCTGGTTTTATATATATATGTGTGTGTGTGTGTGTGTTTTAGGGCCTGACTGTGATTTTGGTGGGTGGTAGGCAGGCAGTATTGAATCCTGTGCTCCTTGCCAACCTACAGAAGAGATCTGAATTACTCAGGAGTCTCTGAGTCACAAGTGATAGAAACTCTAAATTAAACTAGCTTGAGTGAAGGAATTTATGGGCTCACCCAGTGAAAAAGGTGGGGACAGAAATGCTTTCAGGCATGGCTGCATTCAGGGTCCAGGTGATTTCATCAGACATTACTGTCTGTTTCTTGGCTACTTAACTGGGGCTCAGAGTGGCGAAAGGCAGGAAGGTAAAATGCATGGTGGGGAGGTAAGCAGCAAATGGCCACTCCTTCTGACCAGACTACAAGAGTGGGCTTATCTCTGGGATGGCAAGAGCCAGGGACTTGAATGTCATCTGAACTCTCTTTCTCTGTCTGCTTTCTCTTCTTAGTTTTATCTTTCAGGTCTCCTGTCACCCATGAGGCTGGGTCCAAGGCTCAGGCAGCTCCAAGTTCATAATCCTCTTGGCTAAAGGAGAAAGAGCTGATCCCTGACAACTTCAGTTAGAAAAAAGTCCCAGAGAAGAGCTTGATTGGTTGGTTTTGATCATGTGCCCATCTTTGAGCCCATCACCCTGGTCTGGGTCATGGGGCACTGTGATTGGCTCATCCACAGTCACACGATGACCTCTGTGGCCCCAGATGGCAGGATATGTCATGAAAAGCCCTCAACCAGGATTATGTGATGGATCCCAAGAGCACTATTGCTATTCTGTATATATGTGCAGTTTGCCAAAAACAAAGCAGATGAAGTCTTAGCCCACTTCGCTGAAGTAGTTTTGCACTGTTCAACAGTAGGCAAAACAGGAAAGGGCTAAATGGAGGAGATTTAATTCTCAGAAGGGGCTGAAACTCGTCATACTGAAATGCAAATTGGATACATATCAATTTCAAACTGAGTGTGATTACATCTTTAGGTACCTTGGTTTTAGAGTATTTGGAAGTTTTCTTGTCGTGTACTTCTTGTGTGTGCTCCGGAGGACAAGGAGACATTTGGAGAATGTCTGTGGGAGGGTTGAGGGTGTAAATGGGGGTGACATTTGGATATTTGGGGAGCTTCTGGGGGCGTGAATGAGGTCACTAGGGGACCTTGGGTTATGAGTGGAAGAGAAATAGGGTGACTTCAGAGATGACTAAAGTCACTAAGGTGTCTTGGGTGACTTTGAGGGTACTGTGAGGGGTGTCTAAGAGTGGTATTGAGGTATTGATGTGAGTTGCTGTGGGACATCTTTTGGGAGTATGAGTAGGGTAACTTTGTGTGTGTGTGTGTGTGTGTGGATAATTCTAGAAATAATAGAGATGATTCTGTGTGGTGAACTTGAGGATGTGAGGGGTTTGCCTTGGGTCATCTGTGTGGTATGTGTGGATTTGATTATGAGAGTGTCTAGGGTTGACTTTGGGACAAGTGGGGTGATTTGGAATGACTTTGAGGGTGCAAATGGGGAAGACTTTAAAATTGAGGTATAGTTAATTTACAATATTATGTAAATTTCACAACATAGTGAATCACAATTTTTAAACAAAGTGGGGATGACTGGGTTGACTTTACAGGTACATGAGGGTGACTTCGTGAGTGAGAGTGGGCATCATTTGGGGTTTTCCAGGAGGTGACTTTGGCAACAGCAATGGGGTGATTTTGAGGATGTCTGTAGCTAAACATTGGGGGTAACTGTTGGGGATACTGCTCATGGGTGTCAGTGGGGATGAGGGTGACCTTGGAGAGTATCTGGGGATGACTCTGGGGCATTTCCCCCTTTCCCCCCAGTTCTCATCCACATGAGCATGGGCTTCATGATGCTGGCCCTGGTCCTGTGTCTAGTCCTCCTCCCCACCATGAGCCTCTCCTTCCGGCCAGTGTTCCGCCGCCTTAACAAGGCTGACCTTGTCTTCAGTTCCCTCAGCTTAAGCATTGGTAAGTGTCACCCTGGAGGAGGGGGTACCCTCCCTATCTCAGCAACTCTCCCCTGAGGCTCTCTGGCTTTGGGGGAGATGCTTCTCAGAGTTTCTGTCCTGCTGTCTGCTGGGTCTCGGTCTTTGAATGTCTGTTGGGATTTCTGTCCCACTCTCTGTGCACATCTCACTTCTTTATTTTACTCAGGTGGGGTGAGTGTGTTGGGTATCTCTCTCAGTCTTTTCCTGTTTCCTTCTCTTTCCGCCGCCTCTTGGTATCTGTCTGGTGAGTGAGTGTGTGTGTGTGATTGAATGTGTGCCCAAAACAGCGCACTTGTCCTGAAGGATGGGAGAGGATCTCTTCTTTTTCTGGCAGTCTCAGGGTCCCTGTCCAGCCTCGTGTCCATCTATGGCCCCACCCCAGTGCAGGGTTCCTGATTGTCCTCAGCCTGACCCTCTTTGTAGTCAACTGCGAGACGTTGCAACCGAGGCCACGGGTATCCTACCTGATGACCACCTACCTGGGCTGGAGCGGCGGCGCCTTGATGCTGTGGGCCGGTGAGGGTGGGGCCTCGGGAGGAAGGGGTGGGGTCTCGGCAGGGCAGGGGGCGGAGTCCGGGGAGAACTCCAGGCGGCTGAGGGCCAGATGGGGCAGACCTGGGGGGAGAGCCACCTCAGGGATGGGGCAGAGCCTAGGGCGGAACTCGGAGTCCAACGGCCCACCTACTCCCCACCCCCAGGAGCACTGAGCTACTTGAACCACGTGGGCATGTGGGGCAGAGGGAAGACCTCTATGGAGTGGCGGTTGAGCTATCGCCGGTGGGTCTCGCAGCAGAGCACCCAGAGGTCCACGCTCGAACAGCCGCGGTCAGACCAAGACTCCAAGTGCACCGAGGACGTGCCCAGTTCACTTCCCTCCCCAAGATCCTCCCCTAAGCCTCTCTAAACAATGGCACCCGAGCTTCTCAGGACACTGACACGTAACTGCGCCCAGGTGCCAGGCCAGCTCCTTTCATCTTGACCACACGCCTGAGATTAGGCATCCCTGGAGGCCCCACTCCCTAGAAACCCTCCAAGAACAGGTAACAAAGTCCCGCCCCTCGAACTAGGGCCCACCCTTTGCGGCTCTTCCAGCCCAGAGTCCTGACCCTACACCCCTCTCCCTGGAAGTCCGACATCGCCCCCTCCTGTTCTGCGCGCTGCCTTTGCCGCGTGGCCAGTTTATGTGACCCCGCCCCCGAGCCTAGCTAGGCCTCGCCCCCAGTTGTCTAGCCCTTGCTGGCCACTGCCCGAAGCCTCATTCCATCGTCGGAATTCCTCCCCCTCCGACCACCAGCACCGACCCAGGATGTCCAGTCTTGCTCCCAGGCCAACAGGACACTGCCCAGCATTTGACGCAGCCCCACTCCTCGACGGAACAGGCCCCTCCCCAGGGAGGCGTGGCTTGCAATGACATTTCCCGCCTTCCTCGCCATCATAAAATATGGGCCCAACCTCTCAAGAGTCCGACTCTCCGTTTCGTGCCCTCCCCCAGGGCAGACTCAGAGTCCTTGCCTTGCCCCTTGGGGTCTGAGCCTTTCTGAGCGCTAGTCTGGGCTGGGTGGGCCCTGAGTGCAGGCACCCAGCTTTTGGAAGGCCAGATGACACCAGAAATGGATGCGAATTCGATGCGTATTCGATTTTACTGGGAGTAAGGGACAGGACAGGGGCATTCAGGGGTTGTCAGCCATCGTCTGCTTGATCCACTCCACATGTGAAATCACTTTGGTGTAGACGGCGGGCTTATTGGGGCTACCACATGGGATATGGCCCCATGACGTGATTCCTTGCAACATACCCTCGCAGATCAGCGGGCCCCCTGAGTCACCCTACAGTGCAAGGGGGAGAGGGAGAGCATGAGAGGGGTTAGCAAAGCCTTGGGGTTCCGCCTGGGGAGCTCCAGCACTCAGACCTGGGTGCCCAGATCCAAGCAGCAACTCCCCAACTCTGGGGAAAGACAGTTGTCTCCATAGTCCACTCCAAGAGGAACGTCAGTGGGGATTCCAATAGAGGGGACAGTGGCTCCAATCCTGTCAATGGGGATGAGACTTCAGGGTCCAGTTTCTGCCCAGAGGGGCAGGATCCAGAAGGGGGATGGTCTCTGCAGACAGGTCAGTGGGCAGGAGGAGGTGGGACCCATGTATAGGAGCCTCCCACCCTCAGGGCTCATCTCAGATGTCACATCTCCCAAGAAGCTTTCTCCTGACTGGACAGTACGTATGTGTCAGAGGTGGGAATGGGTGAACTATGATGTGGAGGAGAGACAGATATGATACTTGGATGGTAGTGCAGGAAGCAAAGGGGGCAGGGAAGAGGGAGCCACAGCTGGGAAGCAACAGAGACAGATGCCTGCATAGCTGACCCTCAGTCCAGTATCTGAGTCCCCTCCCCCAGCACCTCAAAGCCCCAGGGGTCAGGCTGGCTCACCACGCAGGTGTCCTTGCCGCCCTCCAGGTCTCCAGCACACAGCATGAACTCTGTCACCTTCTCAGGGTGGGCATTGGCACATACCTCATTGGGCAGGAGAGTGAGGTCCACACACTGGAGATCATCTGGGTATGTGACTACGGCGCAGGGAGAAACATGGCTGTGGTCAGACCCCACCTCCTCAGCCCTCCTTCCTCAGACTCCGGCGCCCAGGTTCCTAGCCCTCTCCTCCCTCACTCCCATGTGCCCCGGCCCCAGGCTGTGCAGTCTGGCCCCAGCTTACACTTATCTGGTTCAGTGCTGCCCCAGCCGGAGGCATAGCAGGTGCTGTCCAGTTGGGGTTCCTGGGTGGGCAGCTCCAGGACCTGCACAGCCTCTGTGATCTGGACGGGCTCCTCCAGGCGGAGCAGCATGAGATCGTGGCTGTAGTCCTTTCTGGGGAGGTTAGTGTGGTTCTTCAGGAGGCTCAGGTTGAACTCAGGGTGTGGGAAGACGTTGCTGACAAGGGCAAACTGGGCTGTGTCTTCGTCCTCAAACAGGTTGTGGCGACCCAGCCAGATCTGGTAATTGCTGGGGAAGGAGAGGATGGAGACAGTGAGCATGAGGGAGGAGGGGGCAAGGGAGATGGGACAGGGGAGCATGAGGAAGGGTCGAAAGTGAGAAAGAGAAACAGAGACAGAAGGAAAGATATAGAGTCACAGAAAAAATTCAGCGAGTCAGAAAATAAAAGAATGTGACAATGTCACAGAGACAGAGACAGAAATGGAGTAAAATAGAGCTGAGAACAGTAGAGGGAGTGGGAAAGGTGGAGGGGAGCCGGTGAGATAGAGGGAGCACGCGGGAGACAGGATGAGGAAGAGACAAAGACAGTGAGAAATAGACAAAGGGAAGCAGAGGGAGGGAAAAGACAGACTAGGAAGGACAGTGAGAAATGGACCAAGTGAGGAAGGGAGAAGGGAGTAAGAAGAGAGAATGAGAAATCAGGCAGAGGTAGCGAGGGGGGTGACAGAGGGTGAGAGAGAAGAGGGAGGAGGGCAGGTGGGGGGGGCAGTGGGGGAGCCTGGGACCAGCTCAGCTGCAGCTGAGGCTGTGGGGCTGGTTCCGCAGCAGGCGGGTGGCTTGGCCCCTAGCCCAAGGTCAGCGTCCCCTTCCTGCCCCAGTTCCCTCTCCCCTTTTCTCCTTCCTCCTTCTTTCCATTGCCCCCGCCCAGCTCCAGCTGACACCAGCCCTTCCCTGGGTCCCTCTTGAGTGGATGATTGTCCTGGAGGGAGGGGATGGGCAGTGTGAGAGCCCTTCCCCATACACACTCCTTGGGGATAACCTCTTCCTTTTCTCTGGATGGGGGAGAGTGATGAGGGAGAGGAAATGAGAAAGAGAACCAGAGAGAGAGAGATGGGGCAGAGAGATGGAAGGTGAGACACAGGTGACAGAGGTGGACAGAGACGGAGAGAGATACAGAGACATGGAGACAGAAGAGAGAAAGAGACAAATCACAGTCACACAGAGAGACACAGAGCCAGTCACTCAGAGACAAGGAGACACAGGACACAGGGAGACCCAGAAAGACAGACAATTATGCCGACAGACCCAAGAGACCCAGGCACCCATGGAGAGGGCTTCCCTGGGGTCATCCAGTCCCAGCCCTGCCTCTCTCCTTGTAACCCTGGACCACAACCCTCCCTCTCTTCATCAGGTCCGGCAGTCTCCCCTAAGGTTATCTGAGGGGACGGTGCTGGTGGCTTAACCTGTGTGCTCACAGACACCCCCTCTCCATACGCCCGCCCCTACTCACTCGTTTATGCAGTGAGCAGCTGTGAGCACCCACTGGGGGTCCACCAGGACGCCCCCACACTGGAACTTGCTGAAATAGTACAGAGCAGCCTGCCAGGGTTGGGAATGCTTCTCACACTCCCAGCCTCCTATGATCCGGGACTGGATTTGGGGCACAGCACCTGTGGAGTGGGTGCTGGGTCAGGTTGCGTGGAGGTTGGCAGTGGGGCTTAGGGACTGGGGTAGGAGAGGGAGCTGAGCTGTGGGACTGGAGGGCCATGGGGGCACAGCACCAGAGCCGGGGGTCTGAGGTCATGGGCAAGGGGTATTGGGAAGAGCTTAGAATTCTACAGCCATCCCTGGGAGTGTGGGCGGGTGGCTGGTCCTGGGTGTGGGGACTGTATGCTGAGAGCAGAGCTAACCCCAGGGATGGGGGCAGCAAGGCAGCACCTGGTATAAACGTCAGGTGATTTGGGTTCTTGGACTGGGGGACAGGAGGCTATGGGTTCTGAGGAGAAACCAAGGATAAGGGCCCCCAGAGATGGGCTCAGAGGCTGGGCGGGGAAGGATTTGTAGGATTAAGGGGATCTCAGGCTGAGGAAATGGTTAGAGCTTGGGTTGGGCTTTTGGGTTCTGGAAGGGACACAGATCTGGGGAATTGGGTGAGAGAAACAAAGAAGAGCATTTGGGGGGGATTTGGGGTTCTTGGATTGGGACTGGGAGAGTTGGGAGAATTGGGGGTTCCAGGTCAAAAAGTGAATGAAAAGATTAGACTGGGAAGGGGTCCTGTGATCCAGGAATGACATTCTAAGAGGAGTGAGGGTCCTGGGACTGGGTGGGGGTCAGACTGGAACAGACCTCAGAAGGAGGGAGAGTGGAATGATTGTCATTCCGGGATCAGATGATTCTCATGGGGATGGGGTCCAAGGTCTGAGTCTCCAGGAAGGATCTGGGGTTCCCTGGGAGCAGAGCCAGGACAAGAGTGGAGGAGGAGGCACAGCAGGGGCCAAGCAGCTGTGAGAACACAGAGAGAACTCACCTGATGTGGGGTTTTTAGAATCTCATGTTTTAGAATCACAAATCACATGGGATAAGGGCAGGACAGCAGGGCTGGGAAGGTATTTGTTGGAATCCTGATGGGGGCGGATTCCCAGAAAGCCAGAGCTGTGCGGGAGGGATTCAGTTGGAGAAGGGCTGGAGTCTGGGGAAAGATGGAAATTCTGCAAGGAAAGGAGCATGTGGTTTTGGGTTCTGGGTACTTTTCCTGGGGGCACAGGCTGAAGGTATGAAATGGGGCTTCAAGGACAAAGAGGGAAGGAAGAGACATTCATAGAACCCCCATACCAGGATGAGGGGGCCACCTGATCACAGACCAGAAACTCTGTTTTTGAAGAAGCACTGGTATCTGGTGGAATTGGGGGTCCAGGGAGGATTGATGGGGACCAGATGCTAGGGCTGGGGGACCTCGTTGAGAGTTGATAGCTGGATGGTGAAAATCACCAGGGTGTGGCAGGATTTGGGGACCCAAGAGCCACACCATTAGGCCATAGAGAGCTAGGGCAGAGGAGGAGGGTGGTCAGGGTCCCAGAGGCTGGTGGGATTGGGGGTGGTCTCCTGGACGAGAGAGACAGATGGCTCAGGATCTGCCCCTTTGGTAAAGTGGGTGGGCACAGGGATCTAAGTGGGGAAGAGAAAATTCTGATTGTTCCTGGGAAGGAGCAGGGACCCAGTATGAGAGTAGGACTGCGAGTAAGGTGACAAGGAGAGGCTGGGTTGGACTTTAGGGTGGGGCCGGGAGAGATAAGAAAGAGCCCCATATCCTGGTCTGGGCTGGGCTGTGGGTTGGAGGGGTGCAGGCTGGGGTTCCAGGTGGGAGGGACGAGAGCAGCATAAGAATCGGGGCCCAACCCCCCGCTTCCACATCTTCCCCACTGTCTCACCAGTCCCTGCCAGGGACAGGGCAAGGCACAGAATCAGGAACCACATGGTGACAGCGGTGTCCAGGCGCAGACAGGTGGTGAGCTTGGAGCTGGGGAACCTCCCTGGGGAGCTTTTTAAAGCCCTCATCCCCCCCAGGATCCCTCCCCTGCCCTGCTGGCACCCAGAGGCTGGCCAAGGCCCTGCCCCTGTTTCCTGGAGGCTGGGCAACCCCCTCCCACCTGCAGAGCCTTGGAAAGGGCGGGAGAGTGAGCAGCTGTTGTCCTGTAAGCCCTCAGTCACACTGGAAGCCTTCCTGGGGCCTGAAGCCAGACAGGGCAGGGCCTGGAGCTCCTGGGGCCTTGCTCTTAGGGACAGAGCCAGTGAAAGGAGGTGGAGGTGGGGTGAATGGAAGCAGAAACAGGAAAACACGATGGTGGAGGAACTGCTGACCTCTGATCCAAAGCCCCATGTACCTGAACCCCAAGTAAGGCTATGCACCCAAGACCCAGCGTACCTTCAAATACCAGTGGAGCTCTGATTCCTTTCTCTCTGCACCAATTGAAACCAAGATGTCAGCTTCTCAGCTTCCAGCGCCCCCTGAAATCTAAGCCTTGGCTTTCAGAATGCTAATTGGTGCACTCCCAGACTCAGGATCTGGGTCTTCAAATCCATTGTTCCTTTCACAGTAAAATCTTAGGTCCCCCTCACTAAATCCTAGCGCCCCCAGATGCAGGAATATGAAATTTCAATGGACGCCAGAGTACATTCCTTATCATTTCAAAATCCAATGTCCCCCCAGACAATGTTGGGGTCCCCTTACCCACCCCTTCGTTCTCCAAATCTGGATGCTCAAGGTTATAGCCTCCAAAGTCCCAGAGATCCTGGGCTACTGGCTCCCCACGGTCATGAAATCCTCTCTACAAATTCCAATCCACCCTACCCCCCTAAAATATTTAGATCTCAGGAGCTAGGTTCATGTACTTCAACACTCAGTGACCTTGAAAGTCATGTTTTTGGGGGTCTCTGAAGAGAATCAGGAACTAGATTCCTGCAGCCTCAATGGTAAACCCATAGGCTTCCAGCACATTCTCTGGCTCTTCAGTAAAATCAAAGCAGCTCACAGTGTCCCAACCTCTGCTGTGTTTCAGAAACTTGACTAAGGAAAGGAGAGTTTTTGCCTTTTGCCACAGTTACCAGGAAGCCCAGAACTTGTAGATTAAGAACATGGAGTCACCCTTGATCACCTAGTGTGTGCTGCATCCTTTCACCGGAGGTCAGAGAGTCCTTTTCCCAGGGCCACGCACTATTGAATCAGTTCATTATGCATCATCTCATTTAGTCGTCCCCACAGCCCTATGGGGTAAGCAATATGAGATGGGGAAACCCAGGCTGATAGAGGTTGGGTCTTTTGTTCAAGATCCTAGGCCCTAGGTGTTGGTCCGAGTGTTGAGTGAACAGAGCCCTGCTTCAAGTCATTTCTTCTCACCTAGGGATCAGAGGAGTGGGTGAAAAAGGACAGTGTACAGAGGCTCTGGGCTCCCCACCCAGTCTCTGGCTCCCATTTCCCTTCAATCCTGAAAGAAAGTCACAGAAACTCCTACAGAGAAATTTGCATCAGTGCTCTCTGTTATCTTGGTATCAAACAGGTGACCTTGAGCACCAGCTCTGGTCTCAGATGGGCAGGTCCTTGGCTAACCTCTGGGCCTTGGATAGGCTATTGGCAGGTGGCCCAGTTCTGTCCCAGGTCAGGTTGGGACTGCTGGCCAGCCATGTGGGCTTCTGAGACTCAGGCAGTATGTCAGAATAGTTAGTTCCTCGACATGGTTTCCTTCATCCACTCCAAGTAACTGCAGACTTTGGTATAGACACCAGGCTTGGTGGTAGTGTCACAGGGGACATCACCCCAGGACACAATGCCCTGCAGGATGCCTCCACAGACCAGAGGTCCTCCGGAATCACCCTGTGGGGAGAAGGGGAAGCCTGAATGGGAATGTTCTGGATCCAGTGCCCCGTCCCCATCCTAATCACCATTCAGAATCTCGGTCAAAACCCAATCCAGCCCTACCCCATGCAAACCCACCCCAATTCCACTCAACCCAAACCAATCCAACCCAACCTCGACCCAACACTGTCCATTACAACTCAGCCAACCCATGTCCAATCCCACCCCCTGCAACCGCAACCCAACCCAACCCCTACATCTTTCCCATTCAGAATCTAACCTCATCCGCACTTCCAACACAACCCAGCCCCATCAGCATGTCTTTTGCATCCCAAGCAAAAGTTACCCCACCCCCAATTCAGCCCTGACATATGTCCTATCTGAAATCAAACCAAACTCATTCTCAGCTCCACATCATCCAGCCCAACACAACACAACACTATAACCCTCTTGAACCCCAACTCCAACCTCACCCCCACTCTTACTGCCTTTCTTTCTCCATCTCCAAACCTTAGCATCTTCTCTGGTCCAAAGCAAGCAAAACCCAGCCCCATCCCAGCTCCCAAATGTGTCCCCCTCCTTTCCACCTCCTTCCACGACTCCTTCTCAGCTCTGACCTCGCAGGAGTCGGTGCCTCCACTCTCCGCGCCAGCACACACCATGGTGCTCATCAGGTGCCCTGGGTAGTCCTTGTTACAAGATGTGGTCGAGAGAATGCTGATATTGGCACAATGCAAGGTGTCTGGCAGGCTCACTGGGGAGGACAGGAGACTTGAAGTGAATCCATACATTTTCAGGCCCTGTCCCCTCTGTCCAAGAGCCCTGGAGAATAGGGTCCTTGAGGCCTGACATCATCCAGTCCCATCCTTTCACGCACCTTGTGACACTGGGCTCCCTGCGGCCCCAGGCTCTTTGTCAGGCACCAGGCCCCAGCCTGACACCACGCAGGCCTCGCCAGGTTGGGGACAGCGCGTGGGCAGCGGGATCGGGCGCACTTGGGCGGAGAGGCGCGCGGGCCGGGTTAGACGCAGCAACATCACATCATGGCGGTGGCTTCGCGCTTCGTATTGCGGATGCGGGATGATGCGAGAAACAGTCCGCAGTTGCTCTGGGCCATCGCGCTTGCGTAGATTGTGCTCGCCCAAGCGCACTCTCATGGAGCTGGGCGGGCGGGTGATTACCCGCAAGTGGAATGAGGGGCAGACAGAAAGATCAAAGAGCAGGTGACCTGGGGTCCACTGACTCTTTGGGAATCTGGAAATCCCATGACCCTTTCCCCAAGGCTCTGACGCCCGCCATACTTCCAGACCCCCCACCCCCTCGCCGAGGTGTCAAAGTTATGCACACTCCTGGAATTCAGTTCCCAGGCTCCGGCTCTTTCTTCCCCAGAATCAGAGATTTTCAGATCCCTTAAGCCCTGCCCGCTATGCCCACTGCGTACCCCGAGCCCCTCCTTCGTACCGCGTTTGACAGTGGGCTGCAGACAGCACCCAGCGTGGGGAGAGGAGGGAAGCACCGCAGTTAAAGCGCCCCCGCTCGAAGAGGGCCACTTGCCATGGCTGCGAGTGGGGCGCACACTCCTCACTCCTCCGCACTTTGTCACTGTCGTCCTGGGCCGCTGGGAGAGGGGATAGAGGAAGACCCCTGAGGACAGAGTCCTTTTCCTTGCATTCTGCACCTTCCTTGCACCCTGCCCTTGCCACATATTTTCCACCCATGCCTTCCCCGGGCTTCTTAAGATGTCCTTGCTGCTGATTTTTAAGCGCTGCCTTCTCTCTAGCTTTTACAGCTGCTGTTGGTTTTCTCCAGCACTGTCGCCCTACCCTTGGCCCCCACCCATCTGCTACAAGACTCCGGGAGAGAGAGGACAGGGAAAGGACCAGAGGGCAAGATGTCCTCTGTGATGGGGAGTGAAGACAAGCGCAGTGGATATAGGCCCAGACAGGTGGTCACTTGGAACCAGCCCTTCAAGGTCACCGAGCTGTCACAGACATCAAAAAGATGTGGCCACTCAATATGTATGACACACGGTCTTGGCTCCAGAGTCTGGACATCTCAGCCAAACGCAGCGTGTCTGACAAGGACACAGATGAGGCCACACAAGGTCACGGGCAAACATACAGGCTCAACCAGTCTTCTGACTTAGAAACTGATACAGACAACCTGCGTGCACATGGGTTGCAGCTTCAGGAATCACAGCACAGACGTTCACGTGTGTGTGTGAATATGGACAGTGCACACGGGCACACACAGGCACAGACGCAGATTTGGACATGGAAGCTCAGACCTAAATTTACAGCCTCCAGTGTAGATCTGCGTGTACTGGGTCACACTCTGGCACACGCAGTCGGAACAACAAGATGGGGCTCTTGAGAAGGGTACCCAGGGAGGCACACTGATATGCACTCAGGCCCCCAAAGCCTTGTTCACTGACATGAATCTGTAGTGTAGTGGTTAAATCTGATGTGACAGAGTAAAAGTCTGTGAATCCAAACATCTTATCTGTGGGACTCTGAGCAAACTGACCTCTCTGTGCCTCTATATCCTCATCTGTAAAATGGGATGGTTGTACGAATTAAATAGGAGAGAGAAAGCAAGCGTGATGCCCGGCACATTGTAATTGCTTAATAAATATTAGTTATTTTAAACAGAGGACACACAGACTGATTTACATAGACATATGTGTGGATGTTCAGGTTGTAAATATAGATTGAGCCAAAGTAAGCCAGACTTAGGGGAAGAGCCAGATAAAGAGAGCCAAAGTTAAAACTGTGATTCATCCCCAAGCCACTTTGTGGGAATTCAAAGTTGTAGAACCGACCCAGAGGGCCAGAGCTCAGATGTGGACCCACTAGATCCGACCCAGGGAAACATCGGACACAGAAGTGGCATTCAAGGTCAAAGACACGTTGCTGGAGACATGGGCAGCGAGAGCAGGATTGAGTTATCCATTTCTAGATCGGCCTCCGAGTCAGTCACTTGGTGTTCAAGGTCGCTCCTCGAGTTTCACGGAGGGGGACTTGGTTCATACATGTAGGCTGTATGTGGACACACAGGGCCTTGCACACACCCTCGCCCCACCCACACGGCACCATGCACAAGGACATCAACGGGGATGTGTCACGATCACAGGACCGTGACCCCCTACACCGGGCAATGTGGATATGTCCCCTCAAGGTCATAGCCGGGCACACAGACACCCACACTGTGGCAGGATTTGCATGGCCACCCCAAAGACCCGCCAGGGTTAGGAACTGGGCCAAGGGCCCTGGCAAGGCAGGGCAAACGCGGATGTGGTGGACAAGGGGCTTAACGAGGGAAGGGTGGGGTCGACCTACGGAGAAGGACAGAGGGTGCAGGCTGAACAGCTGGGCTCCGAGGCCGCACCTGGCCAGTCCAAGCTGGAGGAGGGCGGAGGCCCGAGATGTGTGCAGTGGGCAGGAGGGAGGCACGGAGGAGAGGGCACTGAGACAGCCCGAGGGGAGGCTGGCAGCAGTAGCGGGGGGGAGGGGGGGTCAGAGGGGCCCCCAGGAGTGAGAGTCATGGGGGTGGTGGTTAATAAAAGTCCACCTTCAACTTCTCCAGGGTAGAGGCATCAGGTTACAACTAATTTCTCCATGCGTGGTGGCTGAATGTGATCTGGCTCTCTCCTGCCACCTGGGGTCACCTTGACCTAGTGGCTGCCCCTCTCTGAGTCACATCCCCCCTCTACTGTCAAATGAGGGCGATAGAGAGCACCCACAGAGGGTCAGTGGAGCATCCCTCAGGCCTGAGGGCTGTGCCTGGCGTGTACCAAGCGCTCGGCAGTGCTGACATACCTTCCCAGGGCGCTAGCTGGAGCCAGGACCACATTTAATCCTCGCAACCACCCTGTGAGGGAGCATCTGTTCTTATCTCCATGGTACAGTTAAGGAGTCTGAGTCACAGAGACGCTAAGTAACTAGAAAGTGGCAGAGGTGGGATTCGAACCCAGAGCCTGTGTTCTGGAGCCTCCCAACATTTGTTTAATACTTAGCATAAGCTGTACCTACCTCTTGTGCTATTGAAACCTCATCATTGTTGTTGCAGGTAGGTGCTGTCTTCTAGAGAAGCCCAGATAGGTGAAGTAATTTCCTCAAGGTCACACAGCAAGGAAAAGGGCAGCCCCAGAACTTGAACTCAAGTCTGTGTCACCCCAGGGCCATGTTCATTTGTCATGGGGACTCTAGAGCAGCCCCAGGTCCCTGACAGCTCTTGGGGTAGGGTAAGGACTCAGGGACATCAGCAGATGGCTGAGTTGGGGGTGAGGGAGGGGCTGGCAGATTGCAGGGCCCAGATAAGCTGGGGCGATTAGGCGGCACCACACTCCCACAGACCTGGACCTAACCTAGGTCCACCTCACCTGCAGGCATCAGCAGGAAGGAGAAGATGAGGAGACGCCACATTGTGAAGGAGGGACCAGGGCTCTGCTGAAGTCTAGGGAGGGGAGAGAGTGAACTGGTGTGAGGCTGGACCCTCCTGCCCCTTCCTGGATCCCTTCAGACACAAACTCATCCCACCTGCTCTTAAAGGTTTCACCATCCTTGTTCCCCACGCCAACCTGCTCTTCCTCTTGGGTTCCCCATCCCCCAAGGGTCTGCTGTTCCTCCAGGCACTGGGACAGACTCTCAGGTGCCCCCACAGCCAGCTGGACCCCAACATCATCCACTTGCCCCAAGGCTTTAACTCATGATACATTCTTTCCCCACACCCTATCCCAGCCTCCAGTCGGGCCTCTTGGGTCCTCCTCACTAAGTCCGTCCCTCCACTCCAGTCCCCGCCACCCCCTACACCACCCTGCCCCACTTCATGGCCCCACAGGGTCTTTCTACACCTGGAGTTGACCAGATCCCTTTCCCGCTCACAGCCCTGGAAGATCTCCAGCACCCCCAGGATAAAGTCCCAGCCCCCCTCAAGCCTCACTTTTGAGGACACGAGTGGCTTCTCCCTTTCCAGTCCCTCTAGCCGGATCTCTCATGACCTTGCCCTTTCTAGGCACGACCAATTCTTCTATTTTTCTTTCCCACAGTATCATGCTTCCACGTTTTTGCTCAGGCTGTTCCTCCTCCCAGATATGCCATTCCCTTCAAAGTTCACTTCTTCCTTGAGGCCTTTTCTGACCTCCCCAGGTCAGTGACCAGTGTAGGGTTCTGTCCTCGGCAAGCTTTAGGAATGAGTTAAAGTCCTTCTTCCCCATATCTTCCAAATACCTATTTGTCCTCTGAGGCCAGCCTCAACCTGGTCTGGGAGACCCTGATACACTCAGGTCAGGTCCTCTCTATGTCTCAACTGCTGTCCAGCCAGGGGCCTGGCACACAGGCGACCTCGGGGAGGTTGTGCTGAGCTGACCTGCACTCATGATAACTCCTGGCCTCATTCTTGGCTCTGGCACAAGTGCTTTCGAAGACGTCCTCCTGATTCACTCTGTCCCCTCCCCACCTCCAAACTACAACTCCTTCTTGCATCCCCAAGACATTTTCTTGGTTCAAGTTCAACTTGGGGCCTCAGTAAAGGCCATACGGACCTACACGGGTGCCCTTGACACTCAGCTCCCTCAGGGAGATCCATGGCTGCTTCCTGGAACCAGTGCATCCCATGTCTCCCCTGGACTAGGGCAGACCTGTGTCTCTCCTCACTCCAACCCACCACCCCCGCCCCACACCTCCCCATCTCAAATACCTCACCCCCTCCAGATCCTCCAGCAGCATCTGGGGAAGCCTGGATGCCAGAAGAAAGGGAGCAGGCAGCTGAATGCCTGAATTTATAAGCTCCCAGCCCCACCCGGGTTTTGGGGGATGAGGGTAGGGTGGGGTGGGAGGTGGCTGGGAGCTGGGTTTACAGGGACGCCCAGGTGGCCAGTAGGGTGGGGGACGAGGCCTAATGAGCATTTATTAGGCTGAAGCTTTTGTCTGAGTCTACGAGGAGGAGTTTTCCTACCAGGGACAGTTCATTAAGGGGGAGGAGGAAGTAGCGCAAGAGCAGGAAATTGGAGGAGATCAAAATACAGAGCCAGGAGTCTGCAGCGTGTAACCTAGATTTTTGGGTCTGGAGTATAGAAACTGGATTCTAGAGTCATCCTTCTTGTGGCTGGAGTAGGATTCTGAAACTTGGATTCTGGATCTGAACCTGGATTCTTCAGTTCTGGATCTCTGATTCTGGTTTCTGGACAGCGGCGTCTGGATCTGGATACCCAACTCTGGATCTTGGA